CATCACAATAAATGGAGAGAAGATTGAGGTTGTCAAAGAATTCACGTTGCTTGGTTCTACAATCGATGCCAACGGAAGCAACAGTCAGGACATTAGATGACGTGTAGCATTGGGAAAGTCAACCGCAAAGGAACTGTTTCAAGTGCTGAGGAGGAGCAAGGATGTCTCCTTGAGGACTATGGTGCGCCTGAAAGAAGCCATGATATTTCCGATATCCTCGTTATGCATGTGAAAGCTGGACAATGAATAAGGAACACTGAAAAAGAGTTGATGCTTTTGAGTTGTGGTGCTGGAGAAGAACGCTGAAAGTAGCATGGACTGCTCAAAGAACTAACAGATCTGTCCTGGAGGAAGTGCACTTGAAATGCTCCTTGGAAGCGAGAATGGCCAGACTGCATCTCACCTAGTTTTGGTCATATTGTCAGAAAGGACCATTCCTTGGAGAAGGATGTCATGCTTGGTAGGGTGGAGGGTTGACGAAAGAGGGGGAGGCCTTCAACGAGATGGATTGGTACAGTGGCTGCGATGATGGGCTCAGGTATAGCAGGAATCGTGGAGCTGGTGCAGGATCAGGCAGTGTTTCGTTCTGCTGTGCATGGGGTCGCTATGAGTCGGAAATGACTTGATGGCACCTAACAACAACAAAGCTTCCTTTTACTATCAGATTAGACCAGAGAAAACATAAAAAGAATCTCAAGTAAGGTTAAGAGATGGCTTCTTTTGGAACTTAGAGAACATTCCAATCCTTGTGTGTCTAAAGTCCAGATACAAAGAGGAGCCCCAGTTCACTGTTCTCAGATTGTGGTATCATCTCCACCAGTACCAGGCATATCGTCGAGGAAGGTACCTGGGGAGGAGCTTGCCCCCTACTCTGTGGCTCTGTGGGAACCACTACATAGTGATGTCACCATTTATTGCAGGCTTTCAGAGAAGAATCCATTTACTTATCATGCTGTCATCTTATAGCAAATCCCTTTAACTGTTTTCCTGTCAGCAGTAGTCAGGAGTTCTGCAAGCATTTTTTTTTTTTTTCTCCTTTCTTTCCTTTTCATGAGATCTAACTCACTACTTCAGTTACTATTGCTGATGTCTGTGGTAGAGAAAGCCTCATTCTTTTTCTCACATTTGTTTCTTTGTGGGATCATCAGGGAAGAGTGCAAAGATCAAGGGATTTGATGGCAGAGAGATCTGAGTCCTCCTCCTCCAGCCTCAGACTCCTCATAGGCCAGTGGGATTCACTTCTGTGCTGTGAGGATTTAATGATGTAAGACACACCCAAGGCCAAGCATATAGCAGATTCTCAATAACTGTATGTTCTCTTCTTTATCTCAACCTTACTTTTGTCAGCAAATCCTTTAAAATTCAAGGATTAAGCTGTTCTTTAATTTGATTCTCATTTTCCCTCTTAATGTTCTCTTTCTTTTAGACAATAGGTGATAAAAAAGAAAAAAAGTGACATATTTTTTCTTTGTGATTAAGGGCTTGACAGGACCCCCAGGACAACTTGGAGAACATGGAATGCAAGGTGTAAAGGGAGATCCTGTGAGTGATGGCTGAAAGCTTTCTGCTCCTTTCACTTTAGGGACGCATGATCTGTTTGCTTGACACAAAGACAATGAACAACTAGTTATTTACTAGTGAGGCAACTGTTCAGCTTATCTTAGTATTACACCAAAAAGAGATTTGAGAGGAAAACCTATTTTATAGGGAATCCAGGTATATATATATATATGTATGTATATGTATATATATATGTGTGTATATATATATATATATATATATATATATATATATGTATATATGTATATATACATGAAAATATATACAACAAAGCATAAACTCCTTCAATAATTTGTACTTGTACAAGTCATTGACAGTGGTTATATACTTCATATCGTGTCATCATTCTCCCTATTTCTGCCTGTATTCTTTAATCATTGCTAACTTAGACTACCTGTCCCTAAAGGTTCTCCTCTGTGTTTTAGATTTACTGTTGTGCATTTAATCTCATATAAGTAATTCTTTAAAAGAGCATAATGTTCAAGGCAAATATTCTTTTTTAAATGAGGTAAGTTGTTTAGTTTAAAGATAACTATGTGCGATAGTTTCAGTTCAATCCTTAAAGGGGGTTCTCCCAGCCTAAGTATAAACAGTAAGTCTGGTTTCCAATAAGAATTTGAAATTATGTTCTACATTCTTTTCCTCCTTTGGATCAAGATCTGTCTATTGGATTATTGATCAAAATGTTCAGTAGTAGTAGCCATGCACCATCCCTCCCCCTCTTTTTATTTTATCTCATAGCAAAGTAGTTCATGAAGACAATTAGAACTGCTGTCCATTTCTTTTTCCAAGAATATAGGTTCTTAAAGAGATTGGAATTTTAATTGCGTTGGGTATTTGACATCACTAACAGTCCCGCCCACCACTTGTCAGTAGGTTGTCCTACTATGGTGGCTTGCAAGTTGCTATGAGGCTGGAGGCTATGGCACTGGTATGTCAGATACCAGCAGGGTCACCCAGTGGTGAGCTTCCAGACTAAGGAAGACTTGGAAGAAGGAAAGGACCATTCACTTCTCAAAAAACTGGCCAGTGAAAACCTTGTGAATAGCAATGAAACACTATCTGATATATTATTGGAAAACTTTATGAGTAGCTCTGAAACACTGCCTCATATAGAGCTGGAAGATGAGCCCCTCAGTTTGGAAAGCACTCAAAAATGCAATTGGGGAAGAGCTACTTCCTCAAAGTAGAGTTGAGCTTAATGACGTGGATGGAGGAAAGCTTTCAGGACCTCCATTTGCTGATATGGCACAACTCAAAATGGGAAGAAACAGCAGCAAACATCCATTAATAATTGGAACATGGAATGTACGAAGTATGAATCCAGGAAAATTGGAAGTTGTCAAAAATGAAATGGAATGCAGAAAGATTGATATCCTCGGCATTAGTGAGCTGAAAGGGACAGGTTTTGGCCATTCTGAATCAGACAACCATATGATCTACTATGCTGGGAATGACAAATTGAAGAAAAATGGTGTGGCATTCATTGTCACAAAAAAAAAAGGTGTCAAGATCTATCCTGAAGTACAATGCTGTCAGTGAGAGGATACTATCCATATGCCTATGAGGGAGACCAGTTACTACAACTATTATTCAAATTTATGCACCAACCACCAAAGCCAAAGAGCAGGGAACTCTGGTGGCATAGAGCCTAAGGCATTTGACTACTAACCAGAAGGCTGGAGGTTCAAACCAATCAACTACGTCTCAGAAGGGAGATTGGGCAATCTACTTCCATAGTGATACCACCTCAGAAACTCAAGGAGGGGTTGCTATGAGTTGGATCCGACTCCATGGCAGTGAGTTTTTGGTTTTGGCAGTCTGAAATTGACCAAACATGCAATCAGGATGTGTTACTTATCACTGGTGACTGGAATGCCAAAGTTGGAACCAAAGAAGAATAACCAGTAGTTGGAAAATATGGCTTTGGTGATAGAAATGACAGCAGAGATTGCATGATAGAATTTTGCAAGACCAAAAACTTATTGCAAATACCTTTTTTGAACAACATAAATGGTGGCTATACATGTGGACCTCACCAGAAAGAATACACAGGAATCAGATCAACTGCATCTGTGGAAAGAGGCAAAACAAGGCCAGGAGCTGACTGTGGAAGAGACCATCAATTGCTCATGTAGAAGTTCAAGTTGAAGCTGAAGATGATTAAAACAAGTCCATGAGAGCCAAAATATGACCTTGATTATATCCCAGCTGAATTTAGAGACCAGTTGAAGAATAGATTTGACACATTGAACACAAATGACCGAAAAACAGACAAATTGTGGGATGACGCAAGAACATCATCCATGAAGAAAGCAAAAGGCCATTAAAAGACACGAAAGGAAGAAAAGACCAAAATAGATGTCTGAAGAGACTCTGCAACTTGCTCTTGAACGGAGTAGCTAAAGTGAATGAAAGAAATAATGAAATAAAAGAGCTGAACAGAAGATTTCAAAGAGCATTTCGAGAAGACAAAGTCAATTACTATAATGAAATATGCAAAGACCTGGAGTTAGAAAACCAAAAGGAAAGAAATGAACAAAAAATTCAAGCTTCAAGTTGCAATACTGAAAGATTCCACAGGCAAAATATTGAATGATGCAGGAAACATCAAAAGAGGATGGAAGGAATACATAGAGTCACTGTACCAAAAAGAACTGATCAATGTTCATCTGTTTCAGGAGGTGGCATATATCAAGAATCAATGGTATTGAAGGAAGAAGTTGAAGCTGCACTGAAGGAAGTGACAAAGAACAAGGCTCCAGGAATTGAAAGAATACCCAGTGAGATGTTTCAACAAATGGATGCTACACTGGAGCCACTTATTAGTCTATGCCAAGAAATTTGGAAGACAGCTACCTGGCCAACTGACTGGAAAAAAATCTATATTTGAACTCATTGTAAAGAAAGTTGATCAAAGAAATGTGGAAATTATCGAACAATATCATTAATATCACAGCACAAGTAAAATTTGCTGAAGATAATTAAAAAATGGTTGCAGCAGTATATTGACAGAGAACTTCCAGAAATGCAAGCTGGATTCAGAAGAGGTCATGGAACAAAGAATATCATTGTTGATGTCAGATGGATCCTGGCTGAAAGCAAAGAATACCAGAAAGATGTTTACTTGTGTTTTATTGAGTATGTAAAAGCATTCAACTGTGTGGATCATAACAAATTATGGATAACATTGGGAAGAATGGGAATTCCTGAACACTTCATTGTGCCCGTGAGGAACTTGTACATAGACCAAGAGGCTGCCATTTGAACAGAACAAGGCAACGCTGCATGGTTTAAAATCAGGAAGGGAGTGCGTCAGGATTATTCTTTTCACCATACTTTTTCAATCTGATGTTGAGCAAATAATCCGAGAAGGTGGACTATAAGAAGAAGATCATGGCATCAGGATTGGAAGAAGACTAATTAACAACCTGAGATATGCAGACAACACAACCTTGCTTGCTGAAAGTGAAGATGACTTGAAGCACTTACTGATGAAGATTAAAGACTATACAGTTTGCAGTATGGATTGTACCTCAACATGAAGAAAACGAAAATCCTCACAACTGGTCCAATAAGCAGCATCATGATAAATGGAGAAAAGATTGAAGTTGTCAAAGATTTCATATTACTTGGTTGCACAATCAATACCAATGGAAGGAGCAGTTGAGAAATTAGATGACATATTGCACTGGGCAAATCTGCTGCAAAAGATCTCTTTAAAGTGCCGAAGAGCAAAGATATCTCTTTGAAGACTAACGTGCACCTAACCCATGCCATGTTATTTTCAATTGCCTCATATGCATGTGAAAGATGGATAACAAATAAGGAAGACCGAAGAAGAGTTGATACTTTTGAGTTGTGGTGTTGGCAAAGAATGCTGAAAGTACAATGGACTGCCAGGAGAACGAGCAAATCTATCCCGTAAGAAGTGCAGCCAGGATGCTCCTTGGAGGTGAGAATGGCCAGATTTCTTCTCACCTACTTTAGTCATGTGGTCAGAAGGGACCATTTCCTGGAGAAAGATATCATGCTTGGTAAAGTGGAGGGGATCAGTGGAAAAGAGGAAGACCCTCAATGAGATTGATTGACATAGTGGCTGCTGTCATGGGCTTGGGTATTGTAAGGATTGTGAGGCTGGTGCAGGACTGTGCAGTGTTTCATTCTGTTGTGCCTAGGGTGGCTATGAGTCAGAGCCTGCTGGTCAGCACCTAACAAGAACAATAAGCAGTCCTTGAAACGGAAAGGTCTACTTAGGTTTTCCTTTCTTATAAAAATCCCCCTTTCTGTATTTATTTTCCTTTCTTTGCCATTTATTTGAGGTAACCAAACTTTTATTTTCTTAGGGAGATCCTGGAAGTGATAGTTATATCCAGGGCCCTAAGGGAGAAAAGGGAAGGCGTGGGCATCAGGTAAGATGGTTTCTGTTTGCTTGGGGGGTACTGGTACTCACGGAACAGGTGTCTCCTGGTGCAGAAGACTTGGCATCCTGGTTGGATCAGCAAAGAAAGCCTAGGATCAAATCTGTTGGACTCCATTGGCCATAGAGACAGGTGGTATGAAGGTTAATCCTCACTTGTATCCTGCTCCTTGCATCCTTGTTTCATAATTTGTTTTCTGTACAAATCTCCCTTCTCACAATGCTAGTAATATTAGTGGGTGGAAATGACTACAAACAAGTTACTTTACTTCTTTTGCTGTTGGCTTCCTGGTCTCCAAAATAAAAGCATTAGACCCAAAAAAAGCCCAAGATCTTTTTCTAGTTTAAATATTCTCCAATTTTCTGATGATATATTGATTTAAAGGATGCTCAAGGTCTTTACATTGTTGGCTTGCTTTCCATCAGAGCCAATGATGACTGATGTGAATCAGGTACTTCCCATTTTCTAAGATGAAATCCTTGTCTATTCTAAAGCCTGGAAGCATGACAGAAGGTATCACGAATGGAAAAAGGCTTGTTAACTGGACAGATGCTAACTTGTTAGAAGTCATTTTTAGATTTTTATGCCCTAAGCATGACTTTGAAAAATGACTAAAATAATACAATTGCCTCAGCTCTCACATCTCAACATTCCTAATTTCCAGGGAGGAGGTCTGCATAGCAAAATATTTACAACTGTATTCCCCAAAGCCCACTGCCATCAAGTCGATTCTGACTCACAGTGACCCCTATTGGGTTTCCAATGCTATAAATCTTTACGGAAGGAGATTGCCTCATCTTCCTCCTGCGGAAGGAATGCCTTACTCATTATGCCACCAAAGCTCTTCTACAACTGTAGAGGAACCTCTCTTTGCTTTGAACTTCAATTTTGCATCCTGATCTCTGATGGTGTAGTGCCTAAGGCATCTGACTGCTAACCACAAGGCTGGCAGTTCAAGCCTACCAGCCAGCCACTCCTCGGAAGGAACACTGGGCAATCTACTTCCTTAGAGATACCACCTCGAAAACCCAAGGAGAGGTCGCTATGAGTCGAATCGACTGGATGGCAGTGAGTCTTTTTTTTCTTTGACAAAAACTTAGGACACAGGTTCCCTTCCCTAGATTGTGCTAGTTACCATCCATTTTATGTGTTTCCAGGTCCTGAGAAAAATCTAGTTTGTAGCAAGATCATTATTGTGAGGTAATATGAGAGAACAGTCACCAGCTTGTTATTAATTACAGTTATTGAAGCCAAGTCCCACTGAGAAGTTTCCCTCTAGTGAGTATAGATCAGAGAGCCCTGTGAATAGCCGCTCAATCAGCTACTCTAGATTAAGCTGAAGGAATAGCAAGGCATCAAACCGTAACTCATCTGGGCCCCAGTTTCCTCATCCTTAAATGGAAAGATTAGACAAACTATCTCTCAGTTCCCAGGAATTAGTGGTTGCCATGAGAATAAAGGTCACAATCCATGTACAAACTGAACTCTGGTTCTGTGGTTTGCTCAAGGTTTTACTGCTAGGAATAGTCAAAGCTGGGATGAAACACAGACCTCGAGACAAACTGTCTGGTGCTGTGTCCACCACAGCTTTACAGCCACAGGGAGAGCCTCATGCTCACAGTTGACCTTAATCAAGGGTTATCCATGAACATCAGATCCCTGACTTGTGGGCAGAAATAAAAATTGTAAGCCCCTGCGGTAGTGCCATGTCTCATTACATTTGTATTTGCCATAGATCCTTCTGCCATACTAGGCTCAAAGAAGGGTGCTAATGAAATATCTGTTGCATACACGTGAATAACAAAAGTGACTCCTAAGTTACACAAGGCTGCAGCTCTGATGCTGAAATTGTAGTTTGTTGAGTGTTATTAGAAGATAGTCCTCTAGGGGGCAGTCTTCTGTTGAGATTGTGCTGAGCTAAACCAAGACCAGATTTAGTGTTGCAATTTTTCTTTTTTACCTTTCTATTGTGATTTGAGTGAAAGTTTACAGAGCAAATTGGTTTTCCATTCAATAGGTCATACACATTTTGTTTTGTGACATTCATTGCAATCCCCACATAGTAACATCACTTTTTCCAATTCTTCCCTGTGTTTCCTCATTCTATTTCCTAGATTTTGCCCTGATGAAGCAATCTGTCAAAACAAGCCAAAAATCTTTTTATTATATACTTAATTCTACTCTGCCCCATAAGCTCCTATGAGTCAGAATCGACTGGATGGCACTGGGTTTAGTTTTGTGGTTTTGTTGTGGTAGGAGTGAGAAATTAGTCCTGCTTTTTACACAGTGAATTGTTTTGGAAGGCAATCAGACAATGTATCAGTTAAGGGCTACTGGTTTTGTTTTTGTGTTTGTATATTCTTTTTAATTATATTTTTAATTTTTATTGTGGGAAAACACATACACTGTAACATAAAATGGTCTTTTTAACCACCTTTAAGTGTAGATTTTGGTGCATTAATTACATTCCCAATGCTGTGCAACCATCCCCACTCTATCTATCTCTAGCACTTTTAATCACCCCAAATGGAAACTCTGTACCCATTAAGCAGCATCTCCTCATTACCCCTTCCCTCCAGCTCCTGGTAACCAATGACCTACTTTCTGTTTCTGTGAATTTACCTCTTACAGGTATTTCATATAAGAGGAATCATGTAATATTTATCCTTTTGTGTCTGGTTTATTTCACTCAGCATATTTTTAAGGATCATTTACGTCGTATCAGACTTCATTTACGTCGTATCAGACTTCATTTCTCTTTGAGGCTGAATAATGCTCCATTTTATGGGTATACCACATTCATCTGTTGATGGACACTTGGGTTGTTTCCAGCTTTTAGCTCTCGTGAATAATGGTACCATGACCATTGGTGTACAAGTGCCTGAATCTCTGTTTTCAATTCTTTTGGGTATATATTTAAGAGTGGAATTATTGCACTGGTAGTGTAGTGCCTAAGGAATTTGACTGCTAACCAGAAGGCTGGTGGTTCAAACCCACCAGTCACTCCTCGGAAGGAAGGATGGGCAGTCTACTTCTGTAGGATACCGCCTTGGAAACCCAAGGAGGGGTCACTATGAATCAGGTCTGACTTGACGGCACATAACAACAACATGTCAATTCTATTTGTTACTTTTTTTTTTTCTTTTCCTATACAAGTATCAGAAGAACCTGACTAGCAGTATGTAGGTAATAGACATACTTGATAAATCTGGAATAGGTGATCCCAGGTTGGGTATGGCAGCTCTGTGATGTCATCAAGGCTCAGTGATATCATCTAGGGTCCAATCCCTTTTCTTCCCCTCTGCCATCCTCAGTGTGTTGGCTTTTGGCCTTTGGCAGCTCTGCGCATTTTGTCTTCACCCTTATATAAAATGCCAGAAGAAAAAGGGCTTTCTCTTAGAGTATAGTAGTATGTTCTTTTTAGCTCATTGGTCAAAATTGAGTCCTGTGCTCCCTACCTGCCCTTGCCTCAATTTAAGAGAGCCAGAGAAAGCAAATATCTGACAAAAAGAAATGGGATTGCCATGATTTGCTTAGACCTGTCATAATTTTTCCTTCAGAGCTGGGCATGCTGTTATTGCAAACAAAATTGAGATTTTCTTAGCAAAAAAGAAAGAGGAGGGGCTGTTGTATAGGCCACAAAATTTGTCCACCACATCTAAAGTTGTGTTTGCTCTTTGACCCAACCTTTTCCATTCAAACAAAGATGTAGCTCCACAGATGGTCATTGCAGTGATTTTTAAAACAGTAAAAAATTGGAAAAGCTAAATGTCCAATAATAAGGCATTATTTATATAAACAATGGAATGTTCACACAATGGGATATTATCAGCCCATGAAAATGTAGTGCTTTATGATGTGGAAAGCATCCATGACACAATATTAACTGAAAAAAAAAAACAGGTTATAAAACATTATATTCAATATGAGTTCAAATTTATAGATTATATCTATATCTATAGCTATTTATCCTGAAATATTAATTCTGGTTGTCTCCAAAATATTGTGATTAACTCTAGCCAGGAATTATGCATTTCTTTTCTTTAACATCATTCTCTGAATTGTCAAAATATTTTATGCTGTACCTGTATTTATGTTTACCCCAACTTTTCAGTTTGAAAAATTTCAATTATTCAGTTAAATTGTTAGAGTTGCAAGAACAGTACAATGAACAGCAGTTGCTACCATTTAGATACGTTCTCTTTTAAACTCTTTATACATGTATATAACTATAACTAACAATTTAACTATACATATACATAGGAGCTCTGGTAGTGTAGTGCCTAAGGCATTTGACTGCTAACCAGAAGGCTGGCAGTTCAAACCCACCAGGCACTTCTCGGAAGGAAGGTGGGCAATCTACTTCCGTAGTGATACTGCCTCGGAAATCCAAGGAGGGGTCGCTATGAGTCAGGTCCGACTCGAGGGCACATAAAAACAACAACAACAACGTACATATGCATAGGTCTCTGGGTATTGCAAAAGGTTTGCGCTCAACTACTAGCCTAAAGGTTGACAGTTTGAACTTACCCAATGGCACCACCGAGGAAAGGCTGGTGATCTGCTTCCATTAAGATTACAGCCAAGAAAACCCTATGGAGCAGTTCTACTCTGTAACACATGGGGTCGCCATAAGCTAGAATTGACTCAATGGCAAAGAGTATATACATTTATATGTTTTGCTGAACCATTTGAGGATTAACTGAAAACATCATGGGACTTTGCCTCAAAGTAAAAAGTAAAAGATTTAAAAAGAATCTTTTAAAAACAAAGACATTCTCTTATATAAACACACTCAAGAAATTGAATACTGATACAATATTATCTACTCTAAAGTCCTTATTTATTTTCCCCCACTTGCCCTAACAGTGTCCTTTGTGGCTATTTTTTATTGTTGTTCCAGGATCCAATCAAGGATTATATGTTGCATATAGTTGTCTTGTCTCTTTAGTATCCTGTAATCATGAAACTTCCCTAGTTATTTGTTTGTT